AATTTGGATTCATTTTATATCATTCTCTAATTGCTCTAGGTAGGACTTCCAATTCTGTGTTAAATAGTATAGTGGTGAGAATGGTCAACCCTGATTTGTACTAGACCTTAGTGGAAAACCTTTCAGATTTTCTCCATTGAGGATGATGTTACCTGAGGTTCTGTCATATATGGCTTTTATTATGTTAAGATAAATTCCATTTGTCACCAGCTTTTCAAGGGTATATAGCATAAATGGATATTTAATTTTATCAAATGGTTTATTGCCATCTATTGATATGTTCATAAGGTTTTTTATCTTTTTTTCTTGATGTGGTGAATTGCATTGACTGATTTTTGTCTGTTGAAACACACTTATTTCCCTGATATAAATTCTACTTGGTCATCGTCTATAATTGTTTTAAAGAATTTTGGGAGTCATTTTGCTAATATTTTCATCAGGGTTTTTGCATATGTGTTCATTAGGAAAACTGGTTTGTAGTTTTCTTTTTTTGTATGTTGTCTTTGTTTTGTTATTAGAGTAATGGTCATTATATGAAATGTGTATAAGTGTATTCCATTTTTTCTCAATTTTTTGGAATAGTTCAAGTCGTACCACTTTTGCTGTGCCCTATAAATTGTGGAAGATTGTGTCAACATTGTTATGTGTCTCAAGATGTTTTTTGATTTCTTCTTTGATTTACTCTTTAACCCCCATGTCTTTCAGTGGTGTGTTTTTCCGTATCCAGTTATTGGAAGTTTTCCCTACTTTTCTCTTGGAGTTGATTTCTGGTTTGTTACCTTAATGATCAGAGAAAATATTTTGGATGATTTCAATGTGAATGAATTTTTGATTCTTGTCTTATGACATGATAGGTGGTCAACCCTAGAGAATGTCCAATGTGCACTTGAGAAAAATGTGTATTCAGCTATTTTGGGGGTGTAATCTAATTTTTTTTTAAGATTTATTTATTTATTTATGCAAGCACTGGGTACAGTCAGAAGTGCAGGAGGGTGAGAGAATTCACCAGACCCAGAGCAGGGAAAAGAACAGGCAGACTGATGAAATACACTGCCGAGGGGAACAGCGGGCGCGGCAGGAGAGGTCTGCGTGCCATGTGGGACCCTCGCCTGGTGGCCTTGGATTGAACCAGGGCTGCAGAGGCTGCAGGCAGCTTCGCAGCCTAGCGCTCAACTGCTGTGCCACTAGGGGGCCCTAATCTAATTTTTAAGGATCTTGTGTTTTCCTAGTTATTTTCTGTCTAGTTGATTTGTCCATTGGTAAGAGGGTGGGGGGCCCTGCATCATTTGTACAATTGAATTTTTTTGTTGCCAATTATAAACTGTCCATAATGTATGGATTCATCTCTGGGCTTTCTATTCTGTTCCATTAGTCTGTGTTTCTGCTTTTTGTTACAAGACTATCCTGTTTTGACTACTCTTTCTGTGTAGTGTCATTGGGATTTTGATGGGTATTGTGTTGAATATGAAAATTGTTTTAGGTAATGTTGCCATTTTAATGATGTTTATGCTTGCAAACCACAAGCATGGTGTAAATTTTCATTTCATTGTGTCTTCTGTTATGTCTTTTTCCAAAGTTTTATGGTTAGCAATAAATAGGCCCTTCACCTCCATTAAGTTTATTCCCAGGGGGGGCGGAGCAACATGGCGGCGAGGAGACGCTGCGAGTAAGATCTCCCATTAAAAAAAGTGAATAGGGAGGAAAAGCGGCAGGTCCCAGTGAGAACTGGGACCACGGAAAGATAAACGGGTGACTCCCGCAAACTGCCCAAAGAAGAAAGTTGCCATAAAAGAGGACCAGAAGGGAGGGAAGCGCAGACCCTGCTCCCCTCCCCCGCCACAGAGGTGGGCAGTCTCCGACCGGCAGAGAGGAGGAAACAACAAACCAAAACGGCCAACAAGAAAACGGACGCAGCAAGCGGGACTGTGAGTGGAAAGGAACTATTGCAGCCACCACACCCCGTGAACGGGAGCTGAGGCGAACCCTGCAGGATCCGCCGCGGCGGTGAGCGAAGGGCTCCGGGCCACATTAGAGAAGAACAAAGACCCCGGGAGACGCGCAACACAGCCCGGGCTGCCGGTAAGCTTGCGCGGATAGCGGCGCGCTCGGCGCGCTTGAAAAGCAGTGCAGACCAGGATCAGCTCCTTCTTCTCGTTTGGGAAGCTTCTTCAATTATATCCATGAATATTTTCTCTGTTCCTACATCTCTCTCCTCTCCTTCTGGAATTCCTATAACTCTTATATTTCCTTTCCTCATGGAGTCAGATAGTTCCCCGAAGTCTTTCTTCATTCTTTTTTCCTTCGTACTTCTCTTTCCTTTTCTGTTTTGGTTCTTTTTTTT